TGACCACTGTTTTTATAGTTGAAATAAGGAAGTCCGGAAAAAGCAAGCAAAGGACCGACTGTATTTTCACCAAGAAAAAAAATCATCAGGTGACACCAATGGACCATCCCACCATATATAAATTCCAGTTCAGAGCAATGTTCACAGGATCCCAGTAAGTTAAGAAAAAAGTTAATTCCCCACCATGCCAGCTTTGATTTCATCAGTTGTGGTCCCTTTCCTGTACGTTTTCAGCAAACTTCAAATTAGATCCATATGATTTGTGGTCCTCTAGAGCCAAACAAAAATTAGATTTGCCTGGGAACTAATTTGACGTACAGCACCATCTTGTGGTACCTAAGTAAGGTTATATTAGTCTTAAACACTGGGATCTTCACCTGATTTGCAGCAGCACTGAAGTCATTTGTTACTGTTCATTCATTCCCAAAATGGTGAGAAAGTTTTTTTCTACAATGTAAGCCAGGGGTTGCACAAAAAGGAAATGTGAACATTAGAGCTGTGTCCTGTTTCAGTGAAAGCATCAGGGGTGAGATTCAGCCAGTTGAGACCAGTTCAGGCGAACAGGTAACTCCGATGATCAACTGTGAGAGAACTGGTTCACTCAGGTACACCCTCCACCTACCCCTGCCCTTTCCCTACCTATATCTTCTCAGCTTATTCACGCGTCAGAGTGGATTGCTGTGCCTCAGCTGTGTTACTCCCCAGAAGTAACATGGAAGGTAAGTTTTGTTAAAACTGTGCATGCATGCAAAATATGCATCAGGCGTGTGCATGCACAAAGCATGTGATCATTAAACTGGTTGTTAAACTGGCAGGATACCACCACTGGAAAGCACATTGTAAGTATCTGCTCTCTGAATTGATTAATTGATTGATTTATCATATTTAGAGATCTCCCATCTCCCTCACAGAAAGACTCACTTACCAACTCAATTTGCTAATCTGCTTTCCTTGCCCTAAGACTAAAAGGTTAGTAGCACAGGTTCATTCTCCAACTTTATCAACAGTCAAGGACATGAGTCACTCAAGGAAGCAGCAGAGCTTCTTTTGAAGTTGAAAGGGAAACTTACAAATGTTCAGCATCCAATTGTAGAGACAACCACATCTAGCACTTCAGCATTTATTGATTTTCACTATTTCACTATTACTTACCTAATGGCAAAAACTCTTGAAATCATCACAAGAAAAGGCTTGGCCAAGATATAGCAGGTGCATAAAGCAGGAGCCGCAGCAAGGTATCATCTGAGTAGCAGATGATGCTACCAGATTTGGGTGACAATGTACTGGAGAACCCTTAGATGGGAGCAGTGATATGCAGAAGACTCTGAATCTTTGCTTTATCTAAGAGAGATTATATCAGTGATAGAAGAGCTTTACTTTTAGAATCCTGAAGGAAAAATGGAATTAATATATTGAAATATAATAAATATGAAAATTTAAATGTCAAAATATTCACCTTACAAATGATTCACTTCTAACTTAATAGACTACTATACTTTAGATAGTACAGCTCATGTGCAAATTGTACATGTATGTACATGTATATACCCAGCTTGGTTTATTCCATGGTTCAGAGTATCATGCAAACCCAGAAAATTGAGTAACCAATGATTAAGTTAATCATGGACTAAATAAAAGAGAATAACTAAGACTGATATCATCCTATCATTTTTAGGATTCTTTGAGATAATACATAATGATATAAGCTGAACTTTTAGAGACTCTTACAGTAACATAATTTCATTCAGACCCAGACAGCTGTTGGTTGATTAGCAATGGGGCTAGCAGAATATAGCTTCAAAGTATTGGAGAAGAGAAAATACACAGAAAGGGAGAGGAAGAGGGAGAGGGGGAGAGAGAGAGAGAGAGAAAGAGAGATGATTTCCCCCCAAATTGAGGCTCATTAACTTTAGTCAGCAGAATGCTTAACAGTGCAGAGAAAACGAAAATAGAATAAATGTGAATTCTAATTAACATGTTTTATTATAGGAGACAGATGCAAAAATGGGTGGAGGTGCTCCCTTTTGGTGTTTCTACATCTCAAAACTGAATTTTCACTCAGAATGCTTGACAAATGTCCAGGATGACTGAGAAAAGTCCAGTTGCCTTTTGAAAATGCACCTTTGGGCCAACCATGACCTGGATGACTGAGAATCTCCATAGACACGACAAACTTCAGTCATTCATGTTATTTTGCACAAAAATAAATGTTCAAACCCTCCAGATATGTGTGTATATATACAGAATACATAATTTATTTCTGAATGCTACAAAGTTTTAAAAATGATCACACATAATAGACACAATAATCTTCCTTAAAATATTGCTCTAAATAACTACAAAGTGTTAACTGAATAGCTACTATAGCCATATTTACAGTAAATCAATTGATAGTCACTGATTTGATCAATCGATTATTAGTGAAAAATATATCCTAAAATTGTGCTCTAGTATGATTTATACTTTATAAAAGTGCCAGGCTGAAGTTGAATGTTGGACTTCAGCTATAGATCTTAAAACCTGCAGCTAAAAAGATGCCAGCTCGTTTTTTTATATATATTTAAATTCCATCAAAGTTGGTAAATGCTGATACGGAAAATTAATTTCATCTTGCCATTTGTATTTAGTATTAAATGAGAAGAATGAGTGATGAAGAAAAATGAGTGAAGTTGAATAATGAGCTCAGCTGCTTCGTTAATTATCATACTCTGGTTTATCATATAATTGCAGAACTTTTTAAGACCCTAAGCCATAGGACAGACAATGGTACATACTAAAAATCTTCTTTCTTTTCAACTGCGAAAGTCATCCAACTTCAACATATTATAATTTCATCTACGTATACTACATTCTTCCTTAACTTGTACATTCCCTTTCCTCTTATTTCTTTCCTTTTCTGAACCTCAAATTTCTGATATAAATGCAGGAGTGGCAATATAGTTCTTTGGATCCCAAGGCCGAAATTTTAAGATGGGGCCTCCAGTGCTGAAAAAAATTCAGATGTTGACTCTTCTACACCCCCAGGAATGGCAGCTACAGTTTGGTAGACGAAAGGGAGCATCATGCCATTGCTTTTTTACTCACTGCCATAGCAATAATTCTTCTCCCTTTTTCAGTCATCCTCCCCTTCTGCTTGATCTCCTGCACTCCTACATTCATCTTTTAGGAAATAAAACCCTGCCATTGTCCTTGAAATACAACAGATTTCAGTTTACATTTGCAGCCAGCACAGGAATGAGAATAAACAAAACCGACACTTAAATGTAGTAGAGAATTTAAGATTTAAATGAAGTTGTAAAGGCAACAGAAGCTAGTCATTCTTAATATATTTTAGGTATAACAAAATTCAGAAAGTCAACATGTGCACGTCTTTTGTACACATTTATATTTATTCAATGGATTTATGTTACACCTCTAACTTTTATTGCTGAGACTGCAATACTAAACGTAACCAGGCAGGACTAAGTTTTAAAAAATTGTAAAATAGAGAAAAGTCATCGAAATAAAAGAGATTTCCTTACAAACCAAGAGGGAGGATGAAGTCCCACCCATGTACGACTACTCAGAAACAAACCCTCGTATTCAGTAAGACTTGATGCAATTAAAGCACGAGGTGTCAGCGTGACCCGTCAAAACCGCGGTAGACAAAACCGCGCTCGACGAAAGCGCGTACCTGACGTCATCAGCAGTGCGACGAAAAAAATTAAAAATAAATTACATTGAAATAAAAATTAAATAAAAGCAAGCCGATTCACGTTAGGGTTAGGGTTAGGTTAAGGGTTAGGTTTAGGGTTAGGTTTAGGGT